CACATGTTGGTTCTTCTTTTGTGTCTTTTTCTGTTCCCTGGTGCATGTATCCTTCAGGAATAAAGGTTTCATTCAAATAAGAAAAGGTCATTGATTCTTTCTTTACCTTTCTGTTATTGTTTTGTATTTTTTCTATTTCATAACCTAATCTAAATCTACAACTATACTCTTTAATTTTAATAATCTTTTTTATCCTTTGCAAGCTTTTGCCCATGCCAAACCTGATACTCTAACCCTTGTTAACCATCCGATTGATCATAATCTGACTGAATTTAAACCTACCTACTGTATTAATAGGTTCAAATGATCTATAAGAGCACTCTAATGATTCTTTTACTGCTTCCATATATAAGGCATTTATGGGTTAGGTCACCAACAAATCTTCTTCCCCAGCCATGATTACCAATTATCCTTCTACATTGAATTTGATCTATTGATGCAACGAGAAAAGAACAATGTCTACTTTGTGGATCCATAGTTTCCCTAATAAACAACTATATGATTAAGAGATATCTATAACTTAAAATTTTACATTGAAGACACATGGCCCAATCTGGATAAGCAGCTCAACGTCTCTCAAAATTTTTCATCTAGTCCCATCAAATACTCAGACCATCATTTAGCTATTTTGGATATAAGACATATCAAAAGGCAGCTTGGCTAGAGTGGACATGTGCATCACATTAATAATGGATCCATTATCAATAAGGATCTTAGCTACTATGTGGCATTTACATTTGACAATGATGTGCAATGCCTTAGTGCTCTTTTTACCTTCAGGTAAAATCTCATCATCACTAAAAGAAATATGATGTGGCACCACTAGATTTTTTGCCAAGTGATTTATATACTCTATAGATACATTATGAGTCACATAAGCCTAATTTAATATTTTCAACAAGGCATTGTGATGTGGTTCAGAATTCAAAAAAAATGATAATAAAAAAATCTTGGCTGGCATTTTATTTAGTTACTCTACCATAAAATACTCACTGTGCTTAACTAGCTTTAAAAACTCACAAGCCTCTTTTTTAGGCATAGACTTCTAAACATCTTTTTTAGAGTCTCTGGTTCAATCTATTTTTTTTATTTTTTCTAAAGTCTCTAGAGTATAACATCTTTCACTTCTAAGTATACCCCTTACTCCTGTTATATTGGCAGTTTCAATTTTTGACCTTTGTTGCCCCTAAGTCATCACTTCATACTAATATCTCTAGGGTAACATTTTATTATCTTTATAAGAAAATGGGTGTGAGACTTTGAAAGCTATTGGTTTGGGGATGAACTTACTCCTAGCTAATTGTGACTTCTCTTTATAACGTATAGTGATAGGTTTTGGCACCTATCTATTTGTCATAGCCATCTCAATGTTTTCTGAGGCTCCTGATTTCTCGTATAACTCTATCCAGTAAGAGTCTATTAATTTTTGTACCTTTTGGTGAAATTGTTAATATTTTTCAATAGAATACCTTAGAGCTCCACTGCGATACTTGCACTTTTGATTGAGGATGCATCCTTCTATATAGGTGTATAAAGCCATTGGTTGTATCAATCTAGCTTCGTATAAGGCATCATAAAGCTTGTTAAACGACATTTTAATCTCTTTTACCCTTTTTTCATATGCCTTTTTATCTTTGACCAGGGCATTGACTGTATGATTGGGCAAATAATTCCTACTAACATTAGGTGTTGAACACCCACTGGTATCAAAACTTATCAGTCCCTCTTTAATCAAATGCTACACTTTTTGTTTTAAAGAAAGGTAATTTTTAGTAAAATGGCCTATTACTCCATAATCGTAATCATAATGGGTGGTGGCATCAAACTATTTGGGATAAAGAAGTTTGGGCTGTTTGGCAGGGATAAAAGCAATTAGATGGTCCTTGTAGAGTTTTTGATACAACTCTATGTAGCTTATAGGTATAGGATCAAAAATAGGTCTTTCTTTAGTTCATGTTTCTTTGGTATTACTTGTAGTACTAACTGGATAGGCAGAAAATCTTGGTGAAGATAGATAAGATGGTTGAATAGTTGACTGGTAAGGAGATGTAGAGATATGGTTCACCGTGTGGTGGTATGTAGGGTAGATAAGTCAAGAGTAACTTTTAAATTGTTACCTCTCAAAACTCATAGCTTAAGTTTCACTTTCCTTCTTCTTAGGTGCTCTTTTGAAAGACTAACCTCATTTAAGCTTACCATTTTTTATGGCATTCTCAATAATCTCTCTCGAAATCACCATATCAACAAAGTTCTTAATCACATTTTCAATCATAAGGGGTCGTTGTTGGTTGGGAGGTTGCTGATGAAGGCTCATGACAAACTCAAAGAAGAAGGTTGGGACTCAAAAGAATAGGCTAAAGGAAGAAAAGCTCGAGATCGAGACAAAATGCACTATCGACTTTAGAGTTGGGAATAGAATTATAGACTGATGAAGTATGATAATATTAGGGTTTACTCATGTTAGGTATTTTAATTGATTTTTAATTAATTTATTAGTATTTATTAAAATTAAAAAGAAAGTGAGAATAAAATTAATTTTTACAAATAGTAAATTAATATATAACTTAGAAGTGTGCTAGACTAGTAATAATTTTAATTAATTAATTTTTATACTTTGTGATATTAAGATTAGTTATATTTAAGTCATTACATACTTTAGGTTATTAGCATTATATTAATTAATTTGATAATATCTACTATTTAATATTCTAATTGGATATTTGGTCAATCATCACTAAAAAAGTTTTTCCAAGAAGCAAGCCGGTTATATTATGTGCATGTATATTAAAATAGTTAAATAATTTTATGGATTAATTATGTCAGTATATTTGATAAGAAATGAACATATGAATGATGATACTTTATGTATTTGACGTAGGCATGGATTTATTAACATTTTTTTACACTGGATCCAGTAGTTAACATGGTATATTCTATTGTTAAACCTCATGCTCGACGACAGAACCCAATAAGTATTTCGATCCATTGCAACAATTATGAGAGCAATTGGATGACTTGCTCCTATATCAAGTGTGCTGGGATGCATATGTAAGATATCTATAGCAGTACCTATTACCCAAGATTGCTTTTTTTTTTTTTGGTTTTGTAAAATGCAGGTCTATCATGGAGCTATATTTTTCAAAGAAAGTTTTACGACAATTCGATTTTCTATAGACCATTCCATCAGTTATGATGTAGCCTACAATTTTTTGAACCAATATTGGGAGAGGTGAGATATGCATGTCCTGCTTGTTAAGCTTCAAGCGAGATAATGTCAGACACTTAATTATGATGTTTGGTATACATCAATTTCACATTGGCACATTCAAAATTTGAAACAAAGATCCAAATTTCAGTCTCAACTAGTCAATATTAGGCCATTAATGATAATGTAAGTCATGATTTTATTAGTGTACTAACTAATATGTTTTCAATATTGATTATCTTGTTAATGTTTTGTAGCCAAGCTTGATGGCATTATTTGTTCTTCATGATGCTCTGTGCGGTGGATAAGATTAAGGAGACAATCTATAAAAAAAAAAAAAGCAGTTATTAGAGCATATGCCATATTGTTTGGGTCGTCAACTACAACCAGTAGCAATCAATCTAAATTAGTTGCATCACCTTAGCATCGACCTATGACATTACTTCGCTCCCCATCTCTAGTATCAACAAGACCATCGATTCCAACGTCACTTTCGACAACACCCTCAATTACACCACTTGTGCCTACTCGCTCATCGCCTATAACAACAACCCCAGCAGCAACGCTTGTCAGAATGTTCAAGTCCTAAAACTAATCCATTAAACACAAATCTAGGAATCTCCATTAATCTTTTTTAACAAAGTGTGATTGGTCACTTAATGAATCTATTTTTTTAAATAGGTCTTAAGCTTAACTAAGGGTCCCTCAAAAAAATAAATTCTAATCTACTAAACAGAACTAAGTTCGAGAGTTCGGTTACATATAAGAAAGGTTATAGCACTCATATAATATCTATCTTAAAATGGTACCAATTAATTTTAAATTATCTTGTCTAAGCTTTAAAATGGTCTATTAGATCTAACTTATTTTTATTATTTATTATTTTTATTAATTATGATATTTAAATATTGGAAATATCTTTAGTTTTCTCCAACACCTTGATCGAACTCTTAAAAATATTTTTTAACTCAAGAGTATTCAAGTAATACGTATGTTTCTTTAAAAATGCTCAATTATCAGATTTATTAAATATTTATGAAAAAATAAGTAAAAATTATTTTTATGACAAATTAATACATGATATGTATACAATAAAATTTACAGCACATAATTTTAGAAAATTATTGTTTGTTCATTAATCTTTAATTTTTAATTTTATTTTTTATTTCAAAAATAAATTAAAATTTGAATTAGAATTATTTTTAAATTCTCTAACATTTTGGTTGAATTTACAAAATTATTATTCACTTAAAATTTTCTAGAAAATTTACATATCTATAAAATTTTTAGAATTTCATCATTAAAATTATGTTTTACATTTCATGTAAAATAATTATACATGTTTTTACCAAAATAATAGCTATAATTAAAGCATTTATTTACACTAAAATATAAGAAAGTAGAGATAAGTAAATCTTAAAAATAAAAGAATAAACAAAAAAATAAAATAAAACATAAAACAAATAGGAAAATAAATAAAATTAAACACATATGTAAAAGAACTAATGAAAAAAAAAAAAGAATTATCTGCAAATGGGTCGGGTCAAGACCACGCGAATCCAGGTCAGTCTTTGGAGCAACATGCGGGTTGGCAAAAATTTTCTCAAAGTCCTTTTCTTCCTCTCTCTCTCTCTCTCTCTCTCTCTCTCCTCTTCTCCCTATAACACTCTCTCCTTGTAAACTGCTAGCCACAGCGACAGTCACACTTACACCTGCATTTCAACACTCGGGCTCTTAAAAAGCCACGTAAACTCTCACTTTTTTTTTTTTTTCAGGAGGTAAAGCCGTTAAAAGGGGAGGAGGATGATGGGTTTAAAACCTGTATCCACGTGCGTTCCTTAAAGCCTCTTAATCACCCGGCGAAAAGTTGGGAGGCAACTCTCACTTAAAATTTGAGACGAGCAATTTTTAGTAACAGGTTGTTGATTTTTTTTTTTTTTGTCTTTCTCTGACATAGCTGTAAACTATGAAAAACTACTCAGAAGTTCAGATGTTGGAGTAGATAGTAAAGCAACTCTCCCCCATTTCTCCCAAAATTCACGAAAAGCTTTTCTTGTAACCTCAGAATCACTCAAACTGTAACTTATTTTTTTTTACGCTGCAAGAGAACATGAGGATTTTTGTTCTTAATTATGCAGGAGATTGAAGATATGATCCTTCCAGTGGCCGATCCTCCTGCACTGTTGATTCTGTTGTTGCTTTTTATCAAGGTGGCAATTCAACTAAGCATCTGTAACTCCTCTCAGCTAGTCATATCCTCTAGTAACTATAGTTTCTTTTTTTCTTGGGGACTTATTAGTTAAGTGTTTTGTAAGCTTGTAATGTTACAATTTAACAAGTTTGTAGCAGACTTTGGTCTGCTTTTTGGATGAATAAAATATATATATCCATAAAAAAATAAAAAAAATTCTTTCAGATTGGCCCCAATCTCGTGGAATCAATGGTGGAGGGTTGGTCTTTTGAACTTTAAAGATCATCTGCCTATTCCCTGTTACTTGTGGCGATAAGTTTCGATGTCTCATTGAACCAAATTTGCCAATCCATTTGTGAAAAATATTGGAGAGTTGAAGGAAGATTAGTGATGAACTCAAGAGTTCAAAAGGAATGCTATATATTTTTTAAATTTGAGATAAAATTGATTTGTAAGAGATAAAATCGATCATTAAGTAGATTAAATTCATGAAAGTATCCCCAAAAACAAAAAACTCCATTTAGAAAAAGTACTTGTGTTCCCTGAAAAGGAAAAGGCATTATGTTTGTTTGGTTTCAGAAAGTAGAAGATGATCAAATCAGAAGCTATAAATAAATGAGGTTAATGTTTGCTTCTAAATAGAAATATTGAAATGCTAAGCTACTAATATAACTCTATCAAATTAGAGTTACACTATGAAAACATATTTCTAATGCTGTATTTGCTATATCTCATCACTGCGTGATGCCATCTTTTTTCCTGACAATGCATTCCACATATAAAAGGCCAAGTGCAGAAAAATGGTTGCTTGCACAGAGACCAACCAGCTCAAAGAGACCCATGGTCCCATTGGTATATGCCCAATTCTGATTGCTCAATCCCTTGTGTCATCTATCTGCCCTTTCCATTCTTATCTATGCACTGTAATGTATGGTCAGAAATTGGTTTCCAACTCAACACCCAATTTTGGATAAGCAGGAGAGTTCAAGCCTGTTAATCCCATTTAGCCCATTAATACAGTCGAGCTCGACCAGGATTAAGAAGCGACTCTGACATCCTCCAACCCTACCATACAACAAGATATGATGCATGTCAGAAGGAGCATAAAGACATGCAGAAACACAAATTATAAACATGCAATGAGGCAGAAAAATCTATACACATGATATGATCATCAGTAAGGGATCAACACCAATATGGGTTAGCAAAGATGCATCATACTTTTATAGGTGGCAAACGAGCAAGTTCAGGCATTTGGGTTCGGATTTTTTTGGCTTCGGGTCCTTCCGGGTTTTCATCAAGTTAGGATTCACACTAGTCAGCTCATTTTAGATTTTGTAGAAGATGTAACGATTTCAACATGCTTTTTGAGTTCAGGCTTTTGACCTTTTGTTCAAACCAGATTTAGGCTTTTCGGGAGGGTTTTGGGTTCAAGTTCATTTTGCCACCTATACATGCTTTCATATAAAACTGTCCACAAGAAGTGCACCATTTGCAGATGTAAGTAATTTTCAGCCAAAAATACCCCAGAAAACCCTGAAATAACCCTACTAAATTCTTCTAGAAGACATATATTACCAATGCTTCAACTCTAATGTCTAGGAAACATTGAAAACATGATCCACCAATCAAAAAGTTGCAGCCAAACAACTTTATTCAAAAAAATCTAGTCAGATATTTGCCAGGTATTCTTATCTTCTGAGATTTATGTAATTGATAGTCAAAAAGAAAAAAATGGGTAAAATGCAAGCCACCCTCTGCACTTTAGAACATAATGCAAACATGCAACAGCACTTTTCTAATTTTAGCAGTGCCAACTTCTGCTCTTTTAGATTAAGAACCCCCGTCATCTGTCACCGAACATGCAGCACATACTAGCCATCCATTCTTTTGCATTAACATAAAGCAAATAAACAAATCTGTGGAAATTCCAATTGTTTTACTCATTTTACAAGTGATTAGACTCATCATAATCAATAGTTAGATAGTTATTAATTTATCTCCACATTCTTTTTTTCATCAAAATGATATTTTTTTTGCCTCTTTTATAACATGTTTTACGTCGGCCATGACCTAACAGATTCAGATCACATAAAAGAGTCTACATTTCTATTACTTCAAGTGAAGATGGGATAACACCACAATAATTGTGTTAGCATTAAGTACAATTACTAAGCATATGAGTTCATTTGTTTTTATTCTAGAGAATATTGCATACCAAATGGGAAATCTGAAAAAGTAAAAGCCAACCATCTTTATAATTGAATTCATGACAAGCAACAAACCCCATAACCTAAAATCAGCTGAAGGGCAAGCTGGTAACACAAGGAGAAATTACAAGCAAACAGTATGAAAACAGAATGGCATATTTCTAATGCTAACCTGTTCAGCAGCTTTGTTCTTGAAATGTCCATATGATGTTGAAACCATCTTACATGAATCAGCAATATGAAGCCCAAAATCAGCAGTTGTGGGAATGAGGTTTGAGTGACCATGTTCTTGCTGACTTCTAGATGAAGATCGACAATTATTTGATGAATGAATGAAATGCAAGAGCACATGAGCCTGTAATACAGGGTGGAATTACAGTTAAACACAATATACATAAGCAAATTTTGGTTAGCCAACATAACAAGTATATGAGGCCAAAAGAAACATCTCACGTGGAATGCTGCTTTTAGAATGTCATCCGACTTTGCTTGATCCTTGAGCAATGCATATATTTTGCCCTTTGAAGGATTATATGTCACTATGTATTTTTCTTTCTGCCATCAATCAAGAGATACACGATCACACAATCAGAGAAGTTAATCAATACAACTTATAATTTAATAATCCATGTAAGCGCATACATGCTTTGTGGGGAAGAGAGAGATCCTTGAAATTAATCTCCTTTTCAAAAAGGCGTACCTCAAACAGAGGTTCTATTGCAAGATAGGCACCAGGATCTTGGAAAGCATCCTTAAATCTTGAGCCTGCAAAAAATGGGACAAATTTCAGATTGAACTCAAACAAGATAGCCAAACTAGAGAATTTTTTTGTCAGGGAAAAACTGTTGAACACAGTTTAATACACACCAAGAACAACGGGTCTGTCCTTCAACCATGGAAAACTGAATATATTTTCCTGCATATTTCCCTCCTGCAATGAGGGAACTTGCCCTGCAACATGAAGAAACATAATGAGGTCATTCTATATCTGAAGAATTCTTCAATGTGTTTTAATTCATTAAGAATGTCATTGAAAAGAAGAAGAGAAAGAATATATTGTCTAAATGCAGTGAAGTTCTATTACAGTTTTACTAACCAGTCTTAACGAAGGAATCTACTGCCACACTGAATCTCGCTCTATTTAATGTGTGCAACACTACAGATCTAACCTGGAGAGAATTATCAAAAGCTATTAGCAGAATATGAACTTCCAAAAACGAAAAAGTAGCAGACAATTCAAACAAAATAACAAAAATGTTAGTGCATAATCAAACCTCTCTGTAAGAACTGAAGAGATACCCACATGAAAGAAGACCAAATGTGGTAACCAAGGATGGGTTTCTTTTTGAGATCATAATGCTCAGTCCAGTTCCCAACTTCAAACAAAATCAAATGGTTCAGTTGGTAAACCTCAAATTTCTAAACACAATAAACATAAGAAAGACAAACATATCATGCATGATAATTTATACATGAATAATAGACAAAGATATTGGATATAAAAAATTAGAAGAATTTATGTGAGACAGATATTTCAATTCCCAAAGCACAAAATTCAAACATATTTACTTCTGCATTGCTCCAAAGTGATTTATTAACAATTTGTCATAGTGATTTTAACAATAGTAATCCAGCTACAATGGATCACTGGTCGGTAGTTAATAGCCATGGTGCCTTCTAATGCAGAGGATCCACTATTATGAATTATGCAGAGCATAATTACACATGTCATTAATTACTGGAATAGTTAATTAGTTCAAGAAGGCTAAGATTAGAGACAGAGATCACCAATAGAAGAAATTTAGAAAGAATATATTACAAAAGAGAGGTTGGAGAAAGAATTCTCCTACAAAGTTATTTAGCTAGAGGTGGGAGGAAGGAAGCTTGCTTCTGCCTTGGGAGATAGGACTTCCTTAATACAGAGATTACAAACAAGATGGCAAAAACCTCAGTAGTTCTTAGATTGGCCTTTTCCAAAGGATTACGGTGCTGGAGTTATCATACAGGCTATGTCTAGACAAAGACATCACTATCAGATATGCGGGCAAGATTCTAAAAGTAAACTTGTACTTTTTACACAAAAGTTTGCGAATTATTTTTCATCCTTAGTTCTAGGCATTGGAGGGGGTCCTTTTCTTCAAATCTTGTGTAATGGTTTCCAAATGTGATAGGTCTAGTGTGTCAGTATAAGTTTTGTGGGAAAACACTTATTTACAGCGGGTTGTAATCTTGTAATCTATATATTTATATTTGTATCTCTAGAATTAAGTATTTGTATCCCTAGAATTAAGGACAAAAAATTAGGATAGACAATCCCTCAATTATAGGATCAGTTTTTAGGAAGATTTAGTTTTCTAGTTTAACCCCTAGTTAGTTGTATATAAGCCTAAGGTGCTTGTATAATTTTTAATGAGTAGTTTTTCAATATACATTCAGTTTTTTCTCTTAGTTTTTCCACATGGTATCAGAGCTTTAGGCTTTTCCTGGGAAGCAAAATTTTCAACCTTCATTGCTAACTTCTATTTTAGGCTTTCATTGCCGAACCCTATTAAGCCCTTCATAGCCATTTTATTTTTCGCTTCTTTAGCCTTCATTGCTAAGAGTCATTTCTAGTTATATCTTAAGACTTGTTTCAATTCAAAGATAGATATCACTACCACCCAATTTGAGAAAATGTCAACTGGAAAAACACCGAAGTACTACAAATGTCTTGGAAACAAGGAGAGTTGGACAGAAAAAAGATTGAAAAACTGAAAAGCCTATTGAAAACCCTTGAAAAGCCTACTGGGGTATGTTCCTCGGATAAGGTCTCTAGTTTAGGTAAAGCTTCTGGTTCTCATGAATTAAATGTCTCGGTTAAGCCTATTACGAGTTTTTGGGTCATTAACTCGAGAGCCACAAACCATATGACACATTCTTCACAGAAGTTTAGTACATATACCCTGTTTCCTAGTAATAAAAAAATTGTTGTTGCAGATGCTTCACTTACCACAGTGGCAAGATTAACAGATGTTCAAATTAATCCCTCATTTGTTCTCAAAAATGTTCTTCATGTTCCTGGATTGTCTACTAATTTGATATCTATACAAAAACTTACCAAAAATATGAACTGCAAAGTAACTTTTTATCCCTCTTATTATGAATTTCAAGACCAAAGTTCGGGGAAGAGCATTGGACTTGCTAAGGAGAATGATGGACTATATTATCTTGAGACATCAAACAACACAACTAATATCAAGAATAGTTTACCTTTGTCATTTCTTTCTGAAAAATATTTCAATAAAGACAAAATCTGGCTTTATCATTTTCGTCTTGCACATCCTTCTTTTAGAACTTTGAAAAACATGTTTCCTTATTTGTTCAAAGGATTAAATGCCAAAAATTTTCATTGTGATGTTTGTGAACTTGCAAAGCATAGACATGTGTCTTTTCCAGTTAGCAATAAAAGAAGTTCTACTCCTTTTTACTTGATTCATAGTGACATATGGGGTCCCTCTACAATTCCTAATATTTCGAGTGCAAGGTAGTTTGTTTCTTTCATAGATGATTGTACCAGGTTGTCTTGGATATTTTTAATCAAATCCAAATCAGATGTGAATAGTGTGTTTCTGAGCTTTCCAAACATGATCTGGAATCAATTTGGAGTGAAAATCAAGAGATTTAGGTATGATAATGCAAGAGACTATTTCAACTAGAGTTTATCTACCTATTTCCAAAAAGAGGGGATTATCCATGAGTCATCTTATGTTAATGCTCCATAACAGAATGGAGTGGCAGAGAGAAAAAACAATCATTAGCCACAACCCGAGCTTTACTTTTCCCAGCAAATGTACCCAAATCCTACTAGGGGAAGCTGTTCTCACTTCCACACATATTATAAATAGGTTACCTTCAAAGGTTTTGGGATTGAAAACTCTTATGAAACTACTCTCACAATTCTATCCCAACTTTAATACCACAAACAACCTCACACCTAAAATATTTGGTTGTACATCATTTTTTCATTTTCACAATCACAATAGGGAAAGTTGGATCCTAGAGCAATTAAGTGCATTTTTGTGGGATATTCATCAACTCAGAAAGGGTATAAGTGTTATCATCCTCCAACTAAAAAACTATGTGTCTACAGATGTCACTTTTGAAGAAAGTAAACCATTTTTTACTCAACCTTATCTTCAGGGGGGGACTTCATTCATGGAAGATATGGATAAAGACTTTTTTTTGCTTGATTTGTCCTCTTCTTCAACATTTTCACCCATTAATTCTTCTAAGTCGAAACTTATTTCTGATGAGCCCCAAGTCAAACATTGAATTTGAGTCTGAACCTATTCCAAACACAAAAAATTTGACAAAGGATAATGTTGTTCTTGATTCTGTGAAGGAATTACAAGTGTACTCAAGAAGGAAAATTCTAGATCCCGAACCAGTGCTAGTCCAAAAACCTAATCCTAACTCTGAAAATGAAGTAACTACAATCTTTGACTCTATTTCTCAAAATGAGCATGAATCTCCTAAAACTATAACTAGTGATTATAATTTGCCTATTGCCATTAGGAAAGGAACCAGAGAATGTACTAAGCATCCACTATACCCAATCTCTAATTTTGTGTCATTTAAAAAATTCTCACCATCCCACAAAAATTTTCTTGTGAGCCTAAACACTATTTTTGTTCCAACTACATTATCCGAGGCAATCTAGTGAGAAATGGAGGCAAGCCATGAAAATAGAAATGGAAGCCTTGGAGAAAAATAAAACATGGGAAACGGGTAGAGTTGCCTAAAGGAAAAAATCCAATGAGGTGTAAATGGGTTTTCACTGTAAAATATATGGCGGATGGTACTGTTGAAAGGTATAAAGCCAAGTTAGTGGCTAAAGGTTACACTCAAACCTATGAAGTGGATTATCAAGAAACTTTTGCTCTAGTTGCCAAGATGAATACATTTAGGATTTTGTTATCATTGGCTGCAAATTACAATTGGCAGCTTTAACAATTTGATGTAAAGAATGCTTTTCTACATGGTGATTTGGAAGAAGAAATATATATGAAGGTTCCACCAAGATTTGGAGGTCATCTAGAAGCAAACAAAGTATGCAAGCTGAAACAAGCTTTACATGACCTTAAACAGTCTCCTAGGGCTTGGTTCAGGAGATTTGCCAAAGTGATGCTAGCAATGGGATATAAACAGAGTCAAGGAGATCACACATTGTTTATCAAGCACTCTAATTCAAGGAGAGTCATAGTTCTATTAATGTATGTTGATGATATAATTGTAACTGGAGATGATGAAAAAGAGAGAGAATCTCTAAAACAGTGTTTGACTAGAGAATTTGAGATAAAAAAGCTAGGGAGATTGAAGTACTTCCTAGGAATTGAAGTAGCTCACTCACGGCATGATATTTTCATCTCACAATAGAACTATGCGATGGATCTTCTGAAAGAAACTAGAAAGCTCGCATGTAAACCTGCAATTACCCCTATAGATCCTAATCATAAAATTGGAGAAGCTAATGAAGATATTGTTGTAAATAGAGAGATGTACCAAAGATTAGTTGGAAAACTCATTTATCTTTTACATACTAGACTTGATATAGCATATAGTGTGAGTATGGTAAGTCAATTTATGCATAGTCCTAAAGAAGTGCACTTACAGGTTGTCTACCGTGTATTGCACTATTTGAAGGCCAATCCTGGGAGAGGTATCTTATTCAAAAGAAATTCGAGGCTAGTTCTAAAAGCATATACAAATGCTGATTATGCAAGTTCAATAACTGATAGAAGATCCACTTCAGGTTACTGCACTTTCCTAGGTGGTAATCTTGTGACTTGGATAAGTAAAAAATAAAATGTGGTGGCAAGATCAAGTGCTGAAATAGAGTTCAGAGCAATGGCTGAAAGAATTTGTGAACTACTATAGTTAAAGATTATCCTAGAAGACTTGAAAATCAAATGGGATGGACCAGTGAGACTCTATTGTGATAATAAGTCTACAATAAGCATTGCACACAATCCTGTGCAACATGACAAAACAAAACACATTAAAGTAGACCGGCATTTCATAAAGGAGAAACTAGACAATGGGTTGATTTGTACACATTATGTATCAACCAAGGGTCAACTTGCAAAAGTGTTGACTAAAGGTCTCAGCAATGCAACATTTCAAGAAATTATTTCCAAGCTGAGAATGGAAAACACCTATTCACCAGCTTGAGGGGAAGTATGAGAAAACACTTATTTACAGCTAGTTGTAATCTTGTAATATGTATATTTATATTTGTATCTCTAGAATTAAGTATTTGTATCCCTAGAATTAAGGACAAAAAATTAGGATAGACAATCCCTCAATTATAGGATCAGTTTTTAGGAAGATTTAGTTTCTTAATTTAACCCCTAGTTAGTTGTATATAAACTTAAGGTGCTTGTATAAATTTTAATGAGCAGTTTTTCATACATTCAGTTTTTTCTCTTAGTTTTTACACAGTTTTATTTCTTAGTTTTTCCACAGGTTTCTTGGTAGTGGGTCTACTTGTAGATGATATTGAAAGGCTTGCTTGGGTTAAGTGTCGCTAGGGGCCAATAATTTAAGTATTTGCTTTCATAACAATCTTTGACCTGTTGCTAGCGATCAATATATCTCATTAGGTACTTTTCCCAATATTTGGCTATCATCAAGAAAGGAACACTTTTCAAGAAATGGGGATTGGTTTAGCTTGCCAAGTAGCTTTTGTTGTGCTTTGCATTGGTCAAGGTAGTTGAATACTTCATTATACAGAGAATAGGGGAGTGTATCATACCTTATGCAATGTGGAAAAAAAAGTAATGGAGTTATCAACAAAAGTAAAAGATCAGCTGAACAAGTAGACCACATAAGCGTCATAATATGGCCAAGCACTGCCCTATGATATGAACTATTGCAAGGCCTTGGTAATTTGTTCAACCTAAGAGGTGATTGATTGGAATCAAGTAAGGAATTTTTTGAAGAGATCATAATTTGGGGCATAGGGAAGTAGGGATGGAGCTGATTTGAAGGGAGACTTTCTTGTAATGTTTAGACAACATCCTAGAACTCGTAAGCGTGGAATCCAATGGCTACTATATGAGTATGGAAACAGTACCATAAGAATCCATAGTGTTGTTTTGGCCATCATAGGTAAAATAGAATTTGGAAAAGATTGACAAAAGGATGTTTGCGGTTTAGTGCATTGGCCGGAATATTCCATCTCAACAACTGCTTTGCAAAGTGATTTGACCATTATAGAGTATTTGACCGCCTTGATCAATACAAAGGACTCCAAAAGGTGCTTTGCAAACTAAACCAAACCACATTTCTTGAAAAGTTGTCCCCTCTTTATGAGGGCCAAACATGGGAATAATACCCCATAGAATATATTGGTTGCTTGCATCATGACAAAGATTATTATGAAAGCAACACTTGCTGAAAAATTAGACCTATCACATATTTGGAAGACCATGGCACAACATCCAAATAAGAGGACCCACTTCAATGGATGGAACCCAAGGAAGAAAAATATGTCACAAATTTTCGTGACAAAATGTACAAGTTTACTTTTAGAATCTTGTCCCAATGATTGAGATGTTTTTGTCTAGAATAACCTTTAGGAAAACTTCTGGAAGGTAACCCTCAAGAAAAGGCCAATCTAAAAGATTTTTCATGTTTTTGTCCTCTTGTTTGTAGCTTGGTATATGGAAGTCCTACCTCCCAAGGCAAGAACAAACTTCTTTCCCCCACTGCTCTTTATAAAATAACTTTGTAGGAGAATTCATTCTCCAAATTCTCTTTTGTAATATATTCTTGAGAAATATATTCCCTTATTGCTTTCTAAATTTCTTTTATATTACCACAAAGGGAACTCTCAATATGTTAGTTTAAAGAGAGTGTGACACACCAAACTCTCATTCCAATCAGACAGAACAAATCCATTTCCATACTATGCCATCTAGAGCAACCTTCTCTTTCAATTCAGCTCATCTATTTCTTCCATGTTACTCGGACTAGGGGGGTGAGGGTAACGGGTTTGTGTATGGCATACGAACATATGATTTTTCCAAGTTTTTCCTTATATTTTGAGGGTCAGACCTCAAACTCATGTTCATTGGATGTTTGTAATACACGGGTACTAGAAGGAAAATGAAAAGTCGGAGTGAGTTGGAGTAATGCAACTTCAATGTACTTTTGGAGCCTGACCCTCTTTTAGTTCCTTATAATTTTTCCAGAGCTTACAAGTCTGTTACTTGTATCTAAATTGTGCATTTCCGAGCAACCTTCATGCATCATGTTTTCCATTCGCACATCTTTTCTCTTGTTAATCAATAAGTCATTTCTTTCTCTTTCTTCCTATTTCCACTCATATCATTGTTGTTTCATAAATTTTTAACCTTATGAGAAAATTTCGTGTCTGTGTAAAAAACACTACTTCAGGTTATCACAATATTCAAAAGCATACCAGATCAGCAATATTGCTAACACATTCTCCTTTAGCTGTGACATCTCCAATGTTTTCTCCTTTAGCAAAGGCTTTGTAAATTGGTGTCCGAGTTGATGTTGATGTTACAGCAGCAACATTCTGCAATTAAGCAATAAAGATTAAGAATGCAGTAGTTAAACGGCCGCAAAGACATATGTTGAACAGAAAAAATTTCAACCTTTAACACATTTGCAGCACAAGCCAAAGGAAGAAAAAGATGAGGCGCAGCTGCAGTTGCCAACTCTACTCCAGCACCTAGCTCAAGAAGAAGGTCACCAGCAAACCGCAGCTATAACCCATTGGAAAGTAAGAATTTCCTGAGAAAAGAAAGTGCCACTTCTACCACCTCCATCCTCAAAAAAAAGGTTACCTGTTTTAGATCATAATCAAATTTTTTTCCTTGCCGGGAAAAAAGCATTTTACCAACTCGACCAGCACCATCCTGCAAACATAGCAAAACCTTAGCTTGATGGACTGTCACTTTGGAATAACTTTTTTTTCTATACCGCCACATTCAATATAAAAAGACAAGACCAAAAGGCAATAATATAAAAGGATGCAGATTATTGTAAGGCTATAAATGAAAAGTTTGTGAAACAGTAGCAGTTTGACTAAATGAATTCTATGAAATTACTTCTTGAATGCTTTACAGATGCCAACAAGAAATAATATTGAGCATTGAGACATTTCCTTTTAGATGGAAATAAGTGGATGTTTTAATTTTTGATATAGCAATAGACGGCTCAATCAAGAAAAAAGTAAACAGTAATTATGACAAAAGGCCATATAAATCTTACACTCGCATTTTCTTTCTGACAAGCAGTAAGCCAGTATCCACACAAAAAAAAAAAGAAATTTTTGCAAGCAGTTAGGTACATAACCAAGTTTTTCTGTTTGAGTGCTACAATCTGAATTTATAATTTTATTATCCGGCATAGTGAAAAAGAGTCCACTAGCTTTGCGTTTTTTAGCAAACAAAGAGAGGCTTTAAACTCTTTGACAAGCTTCCAGCATGAACATGCTCATAAACACTTACTAGCCAGTTCTTCACAAAGAGAAACTCATCAGGTCAAACAATGCATTTGTTATAGGAAAAAATACCAATATCATGTTAGCATTGCTAACATATTTACTTTTGAAGAACAGTTGCTTCCTATTAATTTAATATGACAAAAGCCATTGAACAAATCAACAAACCACTGAAAATTACATTATGCATTTGCATGCTTATATTTCAAAGATGTATGGAATCAGCAAAGTACAAGGATGAAAATGGAAAAGAAGATCTAAGGTCTACATCCAAATATTGACAGGTTGGAACTCAGAAATGAACCACTAAACAACAGTGTTATGCAGAAACTTAACATAATAAGGACATCTACATAACATGATTAGAAGGAAGAAACCACAATGTCAAGATAGAACCCATCGATATAAAGGAACATTTTAGTATCATAGAACCTCTCATATCTTACTGAGCAGAAGTTTCCAATAACAATTAACACCCTTGAGTTTTGCAGAAAAACTTCACTGTCAGACCAACAAAATGGCAATTTTTCACATGTTTTGAACCTTGGCCAAAGGAAATACTAATATGAGAAACAAAATGTCAGCCAGAGAAAATAAAAATCAGAGAAAATTCAAGATATGCTAAGACAAACAGCTCTCAGGATTTCCAAGTAGGCTCACTATATCCTAAAATAACTGTTAATATCAGAATATTCAGTGAGCTTTTTTTTTCATTAGTTTCACCTAAGCTTTTTTTTTTTTTTCATTAGTTTCACCTATAATATATTAATGGTTAATATATACAAACCAGAGGAAGATAATGCTCATTGACTTGGAAACTAGACAACCAGAAGTGCAAAGAAAATTGTAAAGTAATAAAGTAATTGCAGAAGCAAGCTGGTGTTTTTCAGCCTAAACTTATAGAAGGAGGTATGTTGCTAACTTCAAACATCTTATGTCTTCCCTACCTTGAGAATCCAATTGATAGCGACAGCACCAGGTGCAGCTCTATTTCTAGAGACTCCGACCGAGCTCAAAAGGGTTTGAGTTGTAAAAACACCCATGGCTCCACCAAAGAAGTGCTGCAATGAACAAGATGGTAATCAGTATGGTATTTAACAATGATGAAATTCTAAATTGAGAGGCATGGGCGAGTCTTGAGCTTTATAATGCCCTTCACTTCCCAACATGCTTAAAACCCACCTTCAACGCTCTCCACGTCATGTATGGAACGTATGAAGGAATAACACTGTCAGGGAAGCCCTCAGGCACCACATATGATCGCGCGAATGCCATCAATTCCTGCACAATCAATTGAACCAAAGTCCAAGTCAGCCCACAAGCAAAATGCCAGTGTTCTAAAATCTAAGCTGACGCAAATCAAGCAGTAACTATAAGATCTTGTGGCTTCAATTGGAATATAAGTATAGTTTTACAGCGAAACTAAACCTAAAGCAAAAGTAAAGCACAAAAATTGGTCAGATGAGAGAAGGAAATTCAAAAAATTAAAGACAGATGTGATTGTGATATAATATTAATTAATTTTCTTTTCTTTTTTATTTGCAAAAAAAAAAAAACTGACATCAAGAGGCGACTGAGGAGTGTGTAAACTGAGAGCGCGAATGGAATTGTTCTTGAAATTTCCAAAGGGATCTTTCTCCGCCACGTACTTCCATCTCCTGGCGTCCATTTTCTCGCAGCATATCAATTTCAAGCTTGATTCTCGAAATTCCTCGCCCATCAATCCCATCCTCCGATTTTCATCCATCAATGGAATCGCGGCTCCATCATTCACGCTGCTGCTATTACTACTTACACCCGCATTTGATGCCAGGTTGGCGCTGATACGCAGCGTTTCGCGGACGAGGAGGCAAGACTCCTGGGAGGTCAGGCTTTGGGCGGTGGCGTTGGCATTGGTGTTGGGGGATTGCTTCATCTTCGTCTCTGTTTGTTAGTAGGAAAGAATTTGCGAGGATTTGTTGAATGGTTGAAACTTGAAAGGAAGCGCTTTTATTGTGCGATTTGACTTCAGTTTTAACGAAATGAGCATCGAAAAATCCCCGATGGGAAAGGCTTGGGACTTGGGCGGTGGCCTACATCACTCATTAGTCACACAGCCTTTTTCCTTAGGAACTGTTTGTTTCGTTTCTATTTCGAACTCTGTTTTTCATTATGTTCAAGAAATTAAGTGGTAATTCATTTTTGAAACTTTTCACTTTAAAAGGAATATTACATTAGTAAAAAGGTTTTTATAAAGTACTTCTTTTGCTGTCTAATTGTCAAAATGAATAAGATTTTTCTTTAACATTATTATATTTTAAATTTCAATAAAAATAAATGCATTTTTAAAAGTTATTCATTTACAAAAAATAAAAAAAAAAAGTGATGCATCCATATCAAGTCAACACCAAAAAAGGACATTTATTTTATTGAAAATCTTGTAAAAATGAATAAAGAACCTTACTCAAAGTTTCTTTTGAAATTAATCTAGCAAAATTAGGGATGTCAATAGGTTAGGTCATGATGGATTTTTGTTTGCTTTGAATTCAATTTGTTTTATAACCATAAAATTCGAACTCGACCCGATTCGAAGATTTTTTTATTTTTTAATATCAAAATCCGATTCGATCCAATATTATATAAATCGTATCCGATTCAATCAGACTCGAAATTAATAAAATATTATTTTTTTAAATATAAAATATTATTTTTTAAATAAATATAAAATTATATAAATATATATAATTAAATAATTAATTAAAAAATAATTTTTTTATATATATCAGGTCGATAAGCAAACCCGACCCTGAACCTTTTCTTACTATTATTCGACCCAAAACCTAATTTTTTAAAAAAAAAAAATTGATCATATAAAATCATATCAGATCGAAACCCACCAGAGACAAGTTGAGCTACCAACCCTAAGCAAAATACATTTTTTAACTTCAAATAATAATTCTTTTCTTTTGATGAATGAGATCATTTATTTTTAAGCATATGATATTTTGATTTATGAAATTTAACAAAAAACATTAAAAAAAATTTTGCATTATGATACATCTTGATTTCTTAGATTAAAAATCTCCCACAATAAAGGCTTTAGTTTATTTCTTAAGAGTTTTAATTAGACAAATGCTTTCCACAACATGTTAATTGAACATGATGAACACAATACTACACCACACTTTTAGCTAATTTTTATTTTATGATAGATTTCTAACTTAATGATTTTTTTTTTAAATTGAAAGTATCAAAATTTTTCTCTAGTTTAAACTGAACTTTGAAGTTTTTCTTTTCTAAGAATATAAGATGTGATGGAGATTTTTGAATTTACAAACATTTATAATATTATCGTGTGACTTTTATTTATCATATTAATCTATTAATTATTATTAGATGTTATGGAAGAGATAATTTATTAATTATTATTAATATTTCATAATAAAATATGTAATAATCATCTCACTCCCTTAGCGATGTTTAATATTTGCTTAATATGTTTGTAAATGGAGAGAAGGATTGTTTTTATAATGCATTAACATATGAAATTTTGAAATTTTAAAAAATTTTAGAATGCTAGCATTTAAAAATGTATCAATTTAAGATAACATAATTTATAATTGTATTGTTTGAATAATTACTTTTTAGAAAAAAAATAAATATTGAAATTTGATAAAATAAAAAAATGATTATAATAGATAAATAATAATGATATTACAAATAGAAAAAGTAAAATATTAAAATAATAAAAAAATTATTTGATATACTAACAATGTATTTTTTTATCTTTATAAACGAAATTAAAATGGTGACACATGTCTACTTCTTTTTTAAATTAATTTTTTAATTTTTTTAAACGATATGTGCCTGCCATTTTTAATCTAACTTGTAAAGTTAAAAAACTTCACTGGTAGTGTATTTGACAATTTCTCTAAAAAAAATAATATAGGTGTCATTAGATTTGTAAAAATATATAAATATTACTAACAATATAAAAATAAAAAAATTATATAATGAGTTTTTTAGTTAAAATTGAAGAAAATGAAACATAATAAATATTGACTTCTTATCATAAAATCAAGGAATTTCACAAATTCCACCTCCTTAATGGAATTTGAAAAGAGAATTTCATAAATTTTTATTATAAAATCAATAAATTTCATAAATTTCACCTCTTTTGATGGAATTTGATAAAAGAATTTGAGCTATCCAAAATTCTAATTTTTTAAATTTGAGCTATTCAAATTTTAAGAATTTTGAAAATTCTAACTTTTAATTTTTCAAATAGAATAATTTCATTTTAAAATTTTAAAAGTCTATCTAAAAATAAAATCCCTCCTCAAAATCTTTCATCTAAATACACTCTTATAAAATAATTAATTCACTCATAAAATCATAGTTTTGATACATGACAAGACAATTATCTTAAGTATATTTGGTAAACTAAAAACTATTTATATAAGAAAAATAAGATTAAAAATAAAAACTAATTGATTAGTAACACAAAATATAAAAAAAAAAATTAACAAGTTTTATGTTATTGCTTTTCAATCAAGTTTTATTGATCTATCAATTTTTATTTTCAATTTTGCTTTTCTTTTAATAAATTTTTTTAGTATGAACTTCACAAATTGACATAAAAGTTTACATGAATGATAAGCACTAAAATATTATTAAACTCAACTGTGAATTTTTAAAAATATTATTCATATATAATAATATAAACATGACACTTGCATTATAGAGGTGATTTTTTTATGTAGAAATCTTAGGCAGGAAGGAAGGGGAAAAAAAAAGCAAATGAAGAAAACAAAAAATTATTCTCCCAACTCTCCAAAATGTTGAAACCAAACAGGGCATAGTGATTAGACCAGAGGAGATGAAAAAGTTCAGTTTCTATTGTTGCACGAGTGTCATGGAAAGAGCCGCACAATTGTTGAAGCCAAAGATAAAAGTGGAAAGTGGTGACACAAATTCATGGGCTTTGGATTGTGATGACGGATGCATTTTTCCTTTTGTACAATCAGCTTCTCTTTTCAATATTTTCATTTTTTTAATTAAATGCAAGGTATAGCAAAATCAATGTTTAGTATTAATCTTAAGTTTAATCCAAGATTCATAAATGAATATTAAAATATTATAATTAAATAAATTGATTGACATAATTATTCAGACAGATATAATTAATAAACGAAAGCAATCATAATCTTATAGATAGATTAAGTTTTTTTTTATTAACGATTTTCAATAAATAGATACTATTAATTAGAAGTGAAAAGAAGATCTTAGTCAATTTTATTCAAAAACCTAAAAGCCTTTTAGTCATAAATTTATTAGGTCAAAGGTCTACATAATCGTCAAACCACACAAACTTAATAAGATGCACAATGTTTACACGTAAGTGATCGTAATTATATTACTTGGTCTCTCTTACATGTCTCGTATCGGGACTAAATTTATTGGTCAATTTTATTAAACTATAAAATCACTAATTAATAGTAACTCACTTGTTAAAAAATTCTTATATTCTCTTACTTGAATAATATTAATTAGGTTATTTGATTTTAAGAAAACATAATTTAGAAAACAAAACTTTAGCCTAATTAGCTTTACTTTGATGTGGCCACAGTTAAAAAAATAATTTGGCCTTTGCTATAATATCTTAATAATTCTTTCCAATAAAACCATCCAATATCAAATCATAACAACCATTATGCATCTTGTTGACATAAGACCAATCAATAATAATAAGTACCATAAATTCTATCGATAATGGATCTCAATATGGTTATGTAAAAAGAAAATAACACTTAAATATGACTTCAATATATTATTTTTATTGCTAGTTCTCTTGCCCGTTTCTCTAAACTTTTTGAGAAATCTTTATGGCATCCAAATGTACATGTATGCCTCTTTCTTATCCTCGAATTTACTTGATGGTACTATTTATGAGACATATCTAAGTGACAACATAATTATACTTAAGATAGACACCAAATCTTAAAATTTTATAATATGACATATCAATATGAGACGTACACATGCAATTATATATATACATTAAAAACAATTATAATGAATGTATAAAAAAATTATGTCCATTTAACTTTATGGTATCTTATGGACTAATTCATTTCGAGCTATATCTCATAAGAAAGTAATCACATGTGATGTGTTTGACAAAGTAAAGAAACCCAAGACAATAATGGTTTCAAAATCCAATTTACAATGCATCTATTACCATAACTAACCCAAAACCTCAACAAGTTGTATCTTTCATACGTACAGATATTCATCTTACAAACTAAGTAATACCATAATCCTTACAAAGACAAAATATGTCATCATATAATCAAATCACAATGACTCCCACTGATCCAATAAATCATAAACATGCTCCAATCAAATCTTGAATAATGAACAATAAGCACAACAACAAATGGAGTCATAACAAAATTATGTATTGTTTGCCATCATACCAAATGTGATAACTACTATATTCTTAGATTTTCATAATATCACTTTAATAAACCACTAACAAAATTACAAACATATTATAAACAAAATTTTATATTCATATGCTCATATAATTCAAAATGCTTAATATCTCAACATGAAAACATTTTCAACTAATTTGAATTTCGCGTATTATCAAACTTTTATGTCCAAATGTGCCCAATCAATAACTTATTAGTTCTCATTGACCTTAACATATACGATATTTCCAAAACAATAACTTTAAAGCATTTATGAGTTCTCACTACTTAAAAATATATATGCAAAAGAACTTCCACTAATTTTTTATTTCCTTTAAAAGATTACTTTTGACATTAATTATAATAATAATAATTCAAAACCTTTATATTATTATTCATTGTAATAACTTTCAAAATTACTTCATATATAATTCAAAACAAAGAAAGTGAAATGAGAAAAAAATTATAAAATTCTTATTCTCTCTCAAAAGTAAACCAACAAAATTCGAGAAAGATTAAAGAAAAAATTAAATTAATAAAAACAAAACAAATACTTTTCTTACTTACACAAAATTTATTCCTCGAAACTTTCACACATACGATAAGTATAAACAATATTCTCCACCTTACTTGTGAGTTACTTAAAAGAAAATATTTAATTTCTTTTTAAACGTATT